TTGGGGAACTGCAGAGAGCATGGGTGTGGGAGGGCCAGTGTTGTGATGAGGTAGGCCTAAATATAATGATGTAATACCATAAATAACTTAAAATGACTTTAAATAAATAGATAAGATCATATTAGGAAGCCATAACAATGAACAAAAAAAGCAAAGGCGTTCCACTTGTGTGAGGTGTGACCGGAAAAATGAAAGGAACGGAGCGAAAAGGGGCAGAGTTCAATGAACTTCAATCATACGCATGATGTCCAGTTTTAGATTTACTTCTTTTTTTTTTATATCGTATCCCCCTTTCGGTACTTGATAATCGTCATCTCAAATGGGTGATCTGTGGTATCTCTGCCCCAGTGCAGCCTGGGAGATCATCTCCACGGGAGATAGATCCTTCGTGGCATCAAGAGGGTAAATTAAAAAGTGACCCCATACTTTCATACCTATTCAATTCGGAAGACGGAGACGGAATATTTGAGATAAACAACAAGAAAAAAGTGCGGCAAAAACCTCAGTTGCCCTTCCTCCTGCCCCCCCTCGCCCCCCCCCGCCCCCGACCCCCTGGCCCCGGGGGATCTACCTGGACGGTGAGGTGGCTGTGGGGAGTCTGCGTATGCATTGCAGATGATTCAAACGTGTTCGCCGGGGGCACCAAAGTAATAAAAAAAAAAACTTGTTGAGGAGCATTTACCGCGAGGGGGAAAAAAGAGACAACCTTGATGCATGTTCACAGGCCATAAAACAATCAGGAACAGTCGTTTGGGGAGACTGAGGCAATTTCATCCTCAGCGAGGGGCACTACCAATTAAATTTTATAACTTCTTGAGATGCACTGTGGAGTTTGTCCTGAAGTCGAACCCAGTGTAGCTCTAGTGTCTGCAGCACCTTTCTATGGTTTTGATATAAGGCAAAGAGATTTGGACTGTAGATTGCACTGAAATCCATGGCTGAATGACTTGCTGCTACTGCGCAGGTATTGCCTCTGTGTGTGTGTGTGTGTGTGTGTGTGTGTGTGTGTGTGTGTGTGTGNGTGTGTGTGTGTGTGTGTGTGTGTGTGTGTGTGTGAGAGAGAGAGAGAGAGAGAGAGAGAGAGAGAGAGAGAGAGAGAGAGAGAGAGAGAGCATGCTCTCTCTCTCTGCCCCTTGCTCTCTCGCACACACCTCATGCGTGCGCTCGTTACGAAGAGTTTTTCTTCAATTTTTCAAATACATTTTAAAAAGATATCAGCAGTCAATCTGTTGCGGATGTTTTTGTTATTTCTTCGTCGGTTATTCTGAGCACAAAAATTTACCAAAGTTTGTGCACCCTCTCTCTTTCTTTGATGCAGATGAAACGAAGCAAGACTGTGTGTAGGGTTGGGTCTCATCTCCATGCACTGCTTTTCTTTGTTTTCAATGTTTTGTTTTCTTTTTGACGCATCAGCTTTTAAAGTGATCAGAACAGATACTAGCCATTGGTGAATTTCCTTTTTTTTTTTTTCTTTTTTTTTTTTTAATCTTTTTTAAAGCCCAGGGTGTTGTAGAGGCCAAGGACCAGACCCGTGGTGATTGCTGGTAGCGGCAGCCAATGGTTGTCCTGACCAGATAGGCCACCTACCCTACCCATCCCCACGTTAATACTCTCAGCGCACCTCCTGTCCCTACTATCCTACCTCAGTGTGACCAGCACTCAGGACCATCACCCTACCAGTATTGAGGGCAACTTGGACCAGGGCTGGGCCAACCTCCCAGCCCTAATGGAAGCGGATGCGGATGGGGACCGATTGGCTGAATTTCCAGCAATGTCACCGACTGTTTCCTCTGCCAACAACCACCCAGTGCCCCCCCTCTAAACCCCTCCCCAAAATCTAGCACCCTTTGCAGGACTGCTTTGCCGTTATCGATGAGCGGCTGAATCAATGATGAAAAAACAATCCTTCGGTGTATATATAAGCCTACAGGCTGCCAACTGCAGCTTGGTGGGTGGAAGCATGCTAACCCAGTCCTTTTTTTTTTTTTTTCATTTTTTAAAGGGTAACTCAGTTCTGACTTAGCACTGCAGGTCGGGAGCAGCCCCCGCATGTTCTCTCATGAACACGGTTCTGGCTGCTACGGGGTTCCCCGTATGCCTACAATTAGGAGTCGTGGTAGGTAGGTAGTGTGAGGTGAAATTGAGAGAAGAACATAGCTTTTTAAAAAAAAAAAAAAAAATTCAAATAAGTGCCAGCCCAGCTGTAGCAGCCGAAAACATTAGTGGGTTGCAATGACAAGGACATCTCTTCTCTATACTACTAAAAGTTGTAAGGGTCCCGCCGACATGCTCGGTCGCGGGCCCAAGGGAAAACCATGGAGGGGTGGAATCGGTTAGGGGAACCGGTGCAGGGGTGAGGCCCAGGCGGAGGTAAAAGCCAGGGCGATTGGTACCCTCCAGCAGCCGAGGGACGGAACGCGTTCCCGAAACGGCAGGACGCGGACCCGGGCCATTCGACGAAATCGGTGCCGCGCGGCATACCCGTCTGACGCGGCAAGCTGTGCAGGGGGGGCGGAACTGGAGGGCCATTCGATGAAATCAGTGCCGCGCAGCATACCGGTCCGACGAGGCAAGCTGTGCGGGGGGGCGGAACTGGATGCAGACACGGCGTGGTGTATGATCGAGACGGGAGACGTGTGCCAAGCGACGAGGGCATTGAACGAGATGTGCTGCGTGATGGAGGAGGCTAGGGGATGGAGGCCGGAGGAGGAGGAAGGAGCATGGCGGCCATGGATC